TACCTCCCTGGGGCAACTGGATCGACTGCTGGACGAGTGGCGAATGGAACGCTGGGTGGTACTGCGGGAAGTGTCTTGCTCACATCCTTGACGCTGCCCCATCCGTCATCAACCACATCCTTGCGCATGACACGCCATTGATGCATCCAGCCTCCCCCGCGGCACGGACATCCCAGAAGAGAAAAGAGGACGCGGGGGACCTCGCCCTAGCACTTGGCAAAAGAAGGGCGCAGGCACCACGCGGCGACGACGACGACGGGCGCCGGTCACCATCTGAGACGTCGCCAAAACCCGCACCCAATCCAGAACGAGTTGACGCAATCAAGGAAATTTTTCCGAACATCAAGATCCCGCAACTGCCAGACGTGGCCAACGCCAGGCTCGACCTTGTCTTCCGGGCATGGATTGACGACAACAGCGGCACACAGGGACACGCCCCAGTTCAAATGCGCCTGCACTTCAGACGTACCAACGCATTTGCCAACGACATCTTCTACGTGCTCGCGAACCAATACGAGGTGCCAGACAACGGGTTGGATGTCAACTGGCTCGCCGTTCTGGCCTGCTCCACCCTGGCCTGGACGTTCCCTCCGTCGGGACGCGCTACCGACGGATTGGCGCCAGGCACGGAGTTGGGCGGTAAAAGATGGGCCGCCGGACTGGTCGCACAACATCTCATCGGGAAGGACGATCGGCGAAAGAAACTGCGGGCGGCGCACGTCAACGAATCCCTCCGCGGGGACAAAGACCCGGGGGTCCACAGCACAGACGAATTTGCCCACTGGCTAGCCAGACTTGACATCGAGGACGCCCCCGACCACGCGATGCGACTGGACAACGTTAGCTTGGGAGCACTAGACAGATGCACGCGCCCACGCGGGATGGGATCTCGGCGAATCGCCCCAAACCGTACCTTTGCACCATTCAACATGTCATTTCAGGAGCTTAAGGAGCGAATGGCCACGTTGGCTGATAACGCCAAGGAAAACATCCTTTCCTTGTGCGATCTTGGCTCACAACGGGCACGCGACGAGGAAAAGAGGCTGGACCCCTTGATCAGCGTAGTCATGCACGCCTCTCTCGGGAGTCATTGATTTCCTGCTCACCTTGATGCGGGCCCAAGCGGCAAGCCACTGTCTCGACCCGAAGATATACGAACAGTGACAAGAAAGATCAGAGGCAGCTCAGACATCGAGCCTGCTGCCGCCACGGATGAACACAGCAACCCTTATGGCGACGACCCAGCCTACGAGCTGGATAAGGTGAGCGAGGAATCTGAAGCGGACGTACCAGACGAGCCTGAAGGAAGCCCAGCTACAGGCGATGGTCACAACACCGAGACGGCCGACGACAAAACATCCAGCGTCACAGATGACAGACCCCCGCTGCCGAGGAAGCAAGATCCGCCAGACCGGGCCCCTTCTGGAAGGGTACGCGCGAGGCTGGGAACAGGGCAGTAGACGAGGACAACGAGAAGGTCCCACTCAGCACAACGCTGAGGACAGGACTGGTTCCTCGCGTGGATACAGGGACCAGTGGAGTTACGACAGGTCCTCAGACCGCCGGGCCACGCATTTTCGCGACGACGCCCGGCGTTCGCCAGGGCATGCGCACGGGAAACGACGGGATATTCAATCATGGCATCTGGGTACCCTTCTCCAAGATACCACTGTCCATCTACGAGCCCAAGAAGAAAGAAGGGTCCAAGATGCACAAGGCACCACCGCGCACGATCGACTCGCAACACCCCTGGGAGTCCGACAGCGCTTTCGTCCTCAGGACGCAGAAAAAGGCCAGGCAGCATGTTCAGCGACCTGCGGCGTGCACACTGTACCAAAACTTGCCTCACGAACGCCCAGCCGACCTTTGACCCAGCACTGCAGCCGCCAAGCGCGTGCCGGGTTTTCCTCAACGCCTGGAGGACTGGCAAACTACGACGAGTACCGCGCCGACCATATCTTGCGCACCAAGACCAGCTTTCGCAGCCCAACTGACAGGCTCACGGCTGTCAATAACGGCTCCAGCTCAGGAGCTGCCAGCAGCAGCGGGGCCGCCGCCCCCGGGTCCCACGCAGCTGGAGAGCACCCGATCTAGGGGAAAGGCAAGACGAAGGACGGACCCGATTCACTGGGCAAGGCTGGGAAAGGGGAACCGAGTAACCGAGAGCCCGTGGAGTTCATGGCACGAGAAACGGTATCGTCAGTTATATTGGGCGTGGGGCACCACCCAGTTTCGACGAGATACGGCTCTGTCATCACACCTGGTATGTGGTGCGCCATGCGACTACACTGCGAACTCGCTCTCGTGTGCTTGCGGCGGTTAGCCGCGTTCCCCTGCTCTGCCTTCCCTTCTGCCTCCTTCGCAGTCACTGCGGCTCAATGCTGGCATCGTACTGGCAGCTCACCGCGATTGTCCCTGCCAAGCGTCCCATTGAGAAGTGCCAGGAATGCTTCATCGGCTGCACCTCCCTGAGGACTCTTGCAGTAACTAGTGCGTGGCTAAACAAAAAAGCATGCGTTGCCTACACCCGCTGGCGCATATGGGATGGCGTGCTAGCTCAATGGAGGACCTCATCATCCGTGACTGCACGCTATTTCGCGGCCGAAAGAGCCCAGCTGTTCCCGGGACTTAGTGCGAAGAACAATGGCAAAGTGGTGCCAGTGGCGGGCTTACTGAGGTAAGCTTCGACACCGAGCGCCTGGCGTGCGCGTCAGTGCACACAGGGTTATGGTGAGCTCTCCTCCTTCCTCTCCTTTTGCTTCAGTGGGATCATGTATTACACCGGGACTGACTCCTCCTTCATCTCGGTTAGCTGGCTCCCTCTCCTGCGTCACTGGGATCATGTATTACACCGGGACTGGGTGGTGTGGTACCTACTGGCTGCCTCAAGCCAGCGCCATCCCCCCCCCCCCCCCCCTGCTGATGGCCGAAAGGGTTCAGCGGGCTCCGATACTCGTGTCTCCTGCGTCCTATTGCCACAGCGGTTAGCTGCCACAGCGGGTTGCCTACCGTGCCTGGCGTGCACTTCCCCTCCTCTCCCTCGTTTCACAGGGTTTATCCCACGCGGCTGGGGTCGTCGCCAATACTGCTGTCCGACGGTGCTCTGACAGCCTGAATCCCGTGCAAGGTTCACACTGGGAACGGACGGCCAGGTGGCCCCTGACCTGCTTCTGTCTGGTGTCGGCCTCCACTGGTGACCGGGAGGGTTCCGTGAGGTCCCGCTTCGAATTCCATGCATGACCACACTGGGGATGGGCGGCAAGGTGGCCCCGGGCCTGCTCCTCTTGGTGTCAGCCTCCACTGGTGACCGTTTGGGTTCCGTGGGTTTTCGCTACGGCGCCGTCCTCTTCGGTGCCAGGATTTCGGCACGTGTGGCTCTGGGCGCCCGTCGGCTGCTTTCTCCTACATGGACTTCGCTTTCGATAGCTGCCACTGGGTGTACATACAAGAGGATCTGCCGTTCGCAGTCCTGTCTGTGATGAGGCTGCCCCCTCTTCACTCTGGCGCCGACACGATGTTGTTGTGTCACCTACGGCACGGATGTCGCCCTGGAGTGCCTGTCGGACCTGCTCGTTTTTATCGGGCCCTCTGCCGACTCACACCGGGTGATCGACTTCTGCGTATTCATGGTCGCGCCACCGCGCCATTTTGGCTGCGCCTGCTTGATGGTCGCCACCGGGATTTCCACGCCACCGGGTTGGGAGTGCCGCTCCTGATGCTCCTGCTGAGTGGCTGCCCGCGCGTTCGCTTCGCTTGCCCCTCTCTTGTCTTGCTGCCTAGTCGCGGCCCGGCTAGTGATCGGACGGCTTTCGACTTGCTTCACGAGCCCGCAGACGAACATATCGCCACCAGACCATGTAGAAGCCCTGCCCATGGGAGCTGACGGGAAAAGGGACGAGGAGATAGTGAAACAAAGCGATCAACCAGGGTGAACAGAGAGATCTCTGGAGCAAGGGGGTGGAGGGCCTTTTCGGGCCATCCCTGGGGCCCGCGTGGGGGCGAGGGAAGGGGGAGGACGAGGAGGAGAAGGAAGCGGAGGAGGAGGACGACGACGACGACGACGACGGCGACCACGACGACAAGGAAGAGGAGGAGAAGGAAAAGCAAGGCGACGAGGGCAAGGACGAGGACGAGGAGGAGCAGGAGGAGGACAACGAGGACGAGGACAGAGCCCTCAAAATAGGCTCTTGGAGTCCTCTTGTGGCTCTTTTGGCTGATACTGGTGTCCTTGGGCTCTTTCGGGGGGTCTTAGGGGCCTTGTTGGGGCTCTCTTGGGGGCCTCTGGGGAGCCCTGGAGGGCCTCTTAAGACCATCCTGGAGGCTATCGATCAAAAGAGGGGCGGGGGAGGTCGATTTGTTTCCCACCCCCCTTGGGGCCATCAAACTCGTTTCTTGAGGCACTCTTGGGGCGCTCTTGGGGACGTCATGGGGGCCTCCTGGGCCCATCTTGGGGCTCTCTTAGGCCATCTCGGGGCCATGTTGCGGCTTAAAGCGCATCGGAAGCGAAAGGGCGAGAATGCATACATAATACATGGCCTTATGTGTTTGAAGGATTTGGGCTTCTGGGGGGGGGGTCTTGAGAGGGCTCCGAGAGCACTTGGAGCCGTATTGCGGCCCTCGTCAGCCTGGAGGCATGTCTGAAGCCATCTTGAACCATATTCGACTATCTTGAGCCGCCTTGGAAGACCGTTTTGGAGCATCAGCGGCCCTCTTGGAGCCAGCTTTGGGCCGTCTTGGGCGCCCTGACCGACCGCGGCCTGCCCCAACAAAAACTCAGGGAGGGGAGGGGGAGGGTATCCCTCCCCGAATGGGAAGAGGTTTTTTTGGGGAGAGGGCAGAAAGAACTCGCTAGACCACCTTAACCCAAAGGGCTGGTGGGATTCTATGCTGTGCCGCATCATCCTCGTTGTAGGAGCTGTGAACAGAGGCAGTGTACGTACTCCCCAAGGTGTCAGTGCGATCGTGGGAATGGTGGCCAAGTGCACGCAGGCCGACAGGAGCTTCAAACACTACTCGCCCATAGTTCTGTCTCTACACTGGACCGTCCTACGTTTGTCCACCCGCTCTAGTCCGCCCATTGCCTGGTGCGGCCCGTCTGCTCTGCAGTCGCGCTCGCGTCCGCCAGCGCTGCCCCAAAACAAGTTTCTGCACACATGCTTGTTTGCCCTGTGACCCACGTCGTCGTCCTCCTCTTCACTTCGGCATTGTCGGCGTCATGCGACTGAAGTGTGTTATGGTTCGGGGGCACTGCGGTGAGCAGGCAAACCCGCGACGTCAAGCACGTTTAGGGCGCTTGTGCACATTAAAGATGCCGAGCAGGCTTTGAAGCCGGTTTTCACAGGTCATCGTATTGGAGCTCAATGTTCCTGCACGCTTGCTGATCCAGCTGGTTTGGACCTCGCGCTGGGCCCGCCAGCGTCCTACCTCAAGGTTTGCGCACCAATGCTTCGCGTCTGAGTGTTCGGATGGGAGCATCGTGTTGGGCATGTGTGTGCTGTCTTGCGCTGAGCACTGAGCTCCGTCCCTAACAGCATTTGCACCGAGGGGGTCCTCATTGCAGTTGCATCGAATTGGCTCTGAGCTAGTGGGTTTGGCCGTTGTCACTGATCTGGTCCCAGACGTGTCGTCCCGCTCATGGTGTCCCATGGCATGGGTGCGGGGTCTCGGCCGTTGTCGCCACCAGGGTCCTGGGCAGACGGTCTCTCTCAGAGTGTATCCTTGGCATGGGGGCGGATGTTCGAAGAAAGTCATGGGCGCATGTTCCCGCTCACGGATGTCCCGTGTCATGGGCGCGGGGGTTCTGCCGTTGTTGCCATTGAAGAGGTTTTGGGCATACCATCCCGTTCATTCCCGAAGCATGGCTTGCACTCAACGAGCTCTAACTTTGCACGTACCGAGATGGATCCGTCGTCGCCGACAGACAGGGTCTCGCCCACGGCGTCCACCCCACAGGGTCCTGACCATGGGGCCCGTCGCTGTCGCCGAAGTGCGCCCACGACCAATAGGATGCCCGTAGGCACCCGTTGCACCCAGTAGTCTGCACCCAATCACGCGCTGGGAAGTTGCCATCGGCAAGCACCATCGCGGCCGCACCAGCTGTGCCAAACCAGTTGGCCGCTCTGCGGTCGAGCTTGAGCGCGTCAGCGCGTCGGCAGAGGTTCGCCAGCCAGGGCCAAGCAGTCACCGCTATCGCTGTCGCATGGGTTTCTCCCCAATCAGAGCTTGCCTCTGTAGGGGTCCTAGCGGATTCATATGAGTAGGTGAGGTTCGCCGCTGATTTCGGTGGCCGGACCGGGTGCCCAGGGGTGCCCGGGTGCCCAGGGATGCCTAGAATGTGCCCAACGGGTGCCCAGAGGTCCCCGGGAGTACCCGGGTGCTCTATCGCCCTATAGCCCTATAGCTCTATAGCCCAATAGCCCAGTAGCCGATATAGCCCTATATACCTATAGCCCTATAGCCCAACAGCTCTATAGCCCTATAGCCTTCTAGCCCTATAGCCCTATAGCTCTATATGCCTATAGGCCTGTAGCACTATAGCCCTATAGCCCTATAGACCTTTAGCCCTATGGTCCTATAGCCCTCTAGCCCTAAAGATATGATGATTGGGACTTTTCTACGGTATCATGCAAAACAAGTTGCGGGTGGGAGGGTGGGATGATTGCGTGAGCAGTGGGGTTGGCAAGTCATGAGTTGGCCAAACATTATCTCGCCACAATGAATGCAACCTGTTCTATCGCGATCCATAGGATTCACCACCAAACGCTGCACCCGACGTACTGCACCACATGGGCTGCACCACACAAGTTGGCCCCCCGAATCTACATCCCGCAGTCGGCACCCCATAATGAAGATGACGCATGGCATTAAAGCTGGATGCCACGGCTTGCACTCCAGCAGCCGCCCCGCATAGATTGCACCGCAAAGATGTATCCAAAGATCTGCACACAACCGAATACACCGGATGAGTTGCTCATGTGCAGTTTCACACCGTCAAAGGCACACCATGATTTGCACCATCCAAGTTGCAGTCCACAGGTTGCACTCCGAGACGTCTGACTACAAACCGAACATTGTTCGGGGCCCACGCGCCAGTATCATTGGACCAACGAGCGAGGACGGTTTCGCTCGACGCATCTTCACGTGGGCGTGCTCGGAGGCTCCGCCCTCGACACGAGAAGGGGAAGGCGCCCTTCTCGACGACGGATAGAGGAAGAGCACGGCTTCGGCGCTCACTGGATCAGCCAGCTGCATGCTCGCCCAGTGTTCTGGTGTCGAGGATGTGTTTCATCCCGTGACGTCTGACCTTCTCTTGTTTTGATCGTCCGCCCTCCGAATGGGCATGTTATGTTCGCACCAGGTGGGCACGAGTTTGTGAGAGTGTTCCCCCCCCCCGTGCAAAGCTTACGCGGCCTCTTCGGACGAGCCGAGAAGTTCCCGCGTCCCGGCTTCAAGCTTGAGGTTGGAAAATACGATGCCGAAGAGTTAGGAGCACGCATTCAAAATCCTAAGAGGCCTTTTGGGGCCGCAAGTTTGAAATTGGGGGTTCGTCAGGTTCCAAGAAGATGCGTTACAGATCAGTTGCAACGCAGCGTCTTGTAACCCGCCGCGCCCAGAAGTATTTCCAGAAGTTCGACTAACCCTCACCCACTGCATGTTGGGGCTTTTCGCCGCACCCTAGCTTCTTGTTAACCAGAAGTGTTCCATGTGTCGACACTCTAGTTGAGTTGGGGCGCAAAAGCGCTTGCTCTCTCGAAAGAGGGAACACTGCTGCGTCTAAAATAACTCGGTGCCCCTAAGGACTTTCCCTCGGGCCCCAACCTCGACCCAGCATCGAAAACCTCGACCCCCAGAAGTTTTCTACCTCGGTCCCCGTCGACCCCTTTCGGCAGGACCCTGGCTACGGACGATCACCTCTGGCTGAAAGGTCCCGGGTTTCAGTACGCTTTGACTGCAGCTTCTCGTGGGCGGAAAACATGTCCGTGTCCACGGCATCGCCGGCCAGGCCCCTGCGCCGCGACCCCCCGGACACGGGACAGTCTTGCGCGCGGGGCGGAACGTAGCCGTACGGCCGTGCATGTGCGGGATCGCGCCAGCACCAGCAGGAGCAGCAGCAGGAGCTGCGGGAGCGGGATCAGCAGGAGGCCCTCTTCCCTCGGATCTCCACCCTCCGGACCTTCCGCGGGGCAGGCGCCCCCGCGGCGCGGCCGCGCCGGCCGCCAAGACAGCCCGTTGCGCTGCATTTCTCCGCGCGGGGGGTGCGGAAGGTGAAGATCGAGGGTCCGTCGGGGCCAAAGCCGCGGAGGAGGGGTGGAGAGGGAGGTCGGGCGGGGCCAGGACAGGGGGTAGACCCTTCCAGGGCGCTCTGGGACGCTCTCAGAGCGTTCCGGAACGCGCTCTCAGAAGGCCGCAACGCCCGGCAGATCTTCCAGAACCGCAGGACCTCAGAGATCCCCAGTTTACTGTCCGGAATTTTGGCTTGCCGTGTCGCTCCGCCGGTTCTGGCCTTCCACGCTTCGGCGCAGCACGGATTATCCACGTCCAAGCCCCAAGCGTCAACGCCCCGAGCCTTGCCGAGCCTCCCGCCCCGCGGAGCGGAGCGACAGGCTATCAAATTTTGCAGGGCACAGCGTGTCGGCCGCCGCGGCGGCACGCTGCGCAAAAGTTCCGGACCGCATCCCTGTGCGATGATGCCTTTGTCCTGGCCTCGTCTTAGGAGAGGGCGGCGGCTGAGGCTCCTGCCCCTGCTGGAACAGTCGCGCGAGGTCTTCCAGGCGGCCACCAGGCGCGCGCTTTCGCGCGCGCGCGCCCGGCGACGTCTGAGCTTCGTCGCGGGGCGAGAGCGAGAGGAGGGGGGGGAGGAGGGCGAGGGTAGAAGTTCGAGAATCGAGGAGGAAGAGAGGAGAGGGAGAGAGAGAAGGACGAGGATCCAGGATCGAGGAGGAGGAGGGGGAGAAGGAGGAGGGAGGGGAGGAGGAGGGGAGGGGTGCCGCGGCTGGCTGCGCTCTCGTCCGCGGCGGGCGCCGACGGCGACGACCACCACCACGATGCCGAGCCTGCGGCCGTCGCTGCGTAACGCCCGCCGCCGCAGCCGCCAGTGGGCTGGGCAGGCGCCGGATGTCGGGGGGGCTGGCTGGCGCCCCGGCTCGGGCGCCGAAAGAAACCCAGACGTCCTGGCGTCTCGGAAAAAAACGAGACGGATTTCTTTAAAAAATAGTTCGGCCTCTCGAGGCCCTTGCAACATGAGCGCCCGCTAGCTTTCACCCGCCGATGCCCTAAGCGGCCGCCGCCCCTTCGCTGGCAGAAGACCTCACCTTGACATTGACCTCGGGGCCCTTGGCCAGGCCTCGGGACCGTCAAAGAACGACTCGCGGTGAAAGATTGGTCCTGGGGAAGCGGTCGAAAAATCGAGGCGCGGGATGTTTGGGAATGCTTGGGGGCTTGCTGGCGTCTGGGTCCGAGCGTCGAGAGAGAGTCGTAGCGGCATGTTGTTCTATGGTTTTGGGCTCCGGAGGCCATTTTCCCCGCGCCGGGGCCGTCGAAAGACGGCCCAGGATGATAAGCCAGCCTTGGGGGGAAGGGTCGAGCTCTCCGAGGGCCCAGATAACGAAACGATCGCGACGTCGGAGGAGAGGGCCGCCATGAAAAGAGAGAACCGTGTGTTTTCGGACGTCGAAGTCGAAACGTGTTTCTCTAATGCTTCTTACGAGTCGGATTAGAATTCCAATCATACGAAGTTCGCCCTGGGGGGAAGGCTCGAGCTATCCAGGGACCCGCGTAACAAAACGATCGCGACGCTAGAGGAGAGGGCCGCCATGAAGAGAATGAGCCCTGAAGGTTTGTCGCCGTCTTCGGGGCTCCCGAGATCGAAGCTCTTCCTGGGCCTTCAGGGCTGCCAACAGACAACGATTCGCGAGACGAACAGTGGGTCCCTTTGGGGGTGGCGTCGACATGGTGCTGGCCAAATCGCTCCGCAGCGCGACCGCATTGCTCACTAGCTTCGCCGCTGCGCTCTTGGGGAAGCCCCACGAGTCTTTGCAGACCCAGACATCCGGCGTCCCCACTTTTTCGAGACACGGCCCCTCGACCTCTCGACCATTTCCCTGGAACCGGTTTTTCATCGCGAGTCTTTGTTGTTTGATGGTCCCGAGGCCAGGTAAGGGCCCCGAGAGGACGAAAACGATGAAACAACCTCCGTCCCGATTTTTTCGAGACGCCAGGATGTCTCGGATTGCAGACCACCTTGATGAGCATCGGGGTTGACCTGCGGCCGCAGGGCGCCCAGAAGTGAGCGAGAGAACAACGCATCAGGCCGCCCCCGAGGAGCCAGGACCCGTGTCCTCAGGGGCCCGCGCCCCTCACGGCGGCAGGGCGCCGACAATGTTCCCATATCTTTGGGCGTCACGAAACAGCACCACGGCTTGTCTCGGTGATGCTCAGGACGCGTGTTAGCCGAATGTATGTTTACCCCGTTCGGCTTGCGGCGGCCATCGTTACACCACCTTCGTCGTATTGAAGGGCTTCGGTGGTCCAGCACATGTTGGCGCTGACATACGCTCTGAGGATCACGGCTTGTTGTCTCGCGACTCCTCACGTAAGGCGCAATTCCGCTGGACCCTCCAGCAGCCCTCCAAAGTGGCGATTATCGCAGATCGCAGCCCCCCAGCCCCCCAGGGATGGCGAGGTCTAATCTGAAGTTGCGTGGGGCGTCACTCCGCTGGACCCTCCAGCAGCCCTCCAAAGTAGCGACAGTTTCGCAGATTGCAGCCCCCCAGGGATGGCGAAGTCCACAGATTCGCAGATCGCAGCCCACCAGGGAGTCCCCAGGCAGGACGGAGAGGTAATTATATAGGAGGCAGAGTAGCCTGCAGGTAGCAGGGGAGAGGAGAAGGGAGGCGGGAAGGAGGAAGGAGTTGTGACAGGAGTGCTCTACTCAAAACGAGCTCCTCCTCCTCCTCCGCGACCGTCCTTTTCTGGCTCCCGCCTGCCTGTGCACAATTCGCCTAGCAGCACCCCCGCTTAGGCTACGGACGAGATGCGTGTGCGCCACCGCTGCGACTAAAGGATTATCTCGCGATTCGGGTCCCTGACGGGGTGCGTTGTTGCTCCCGCCCCCCAGTGGCCGCAGAAGGAACGGTCCAGCGTAGAAGCGGAGGCGCGGTCGACATTTGCCCGGTGTGGGCGGCGTCGTGTTGAAAGAGACAACATCAGAGGTCTGGGTGCACACCAATACCGAGGTTGCCCAGGCCCGCCTCTGGCCCAGGATCGGTGGCTTCGCTTTCTTGTCTGGGCACAGGGAGATGTGCAACACCAGTCTGGGTTCTGGGCGAGGAGGAGGAGGAGGGACGAAGGAGGGAGGGCAGAGAGGGAGGTGAGGGGTGAGGAAGAGTCTCTGAGACGCTTCTTGGGGTCCTCATATAGCCCTTGAAGGGCGGCCGCTGCCTGGCCTCCCCATCCGCTTTCTGTGGCACGGGCGCCATCAACGCGCTTCGCTGCCCGTGCCCGTTCCCCGCGTGGGACCGTGCCCGCCGTCGCTGACGCCCCGCGTTGCTGGAGCGGGCCTGCGCGCTCGTGACCTGGATGGCCTGCCAGGCCCCGCGGGAAGGCCGACGGGAACTCCCTCCGCCGTCGGTCTCGGGGCGCACGCAACCCGGGTCTGTGCTGAGGAGCGTCGGCCCCGATCCCTTCTGGCCGGCCCTGGTTTGTCGATCAGACGGAATGGCCCTCCCCCTCCCCCGCCCTCCCCCGACCCGGGTTTGGGAGCTGCTGTGCAGCCGGCCAGGGTTCGTCCCATGGCTTTGGGTGGCCCGAGGCAGCGTGTCCACCGTAGTTGCCGTCTCTTTTCTTGAGGAACGACAAGTGCTTGCACTTTGAGATTCGTATCCAGCTGCATGCGGAAAGTCCTGCCACCATGCCAGCCTAGTGTTTTCAGAGGTCGGCGCGCGAGGAAGCACGGAGGTCCTAACGTGTGACATCTTGTATCGCCGGTCTTCGGAGAGCCATAATACGTGGCGCGCTTTTCGTAGGCCGTCGTGGGATGTTCCGGGACGAAGGTGCTTAACGCCGTCACGCGTGACACATCGATTGTCTTGGGGTTTGGGTGCGTGTTCGAAATCCCTGAGCACTTCAGGGGCGATGGTGAAGAAGAAGAAGATGGTAATGATGATGATGATGATGCTGATGAAGATGGTGATGATGCTAGTGATGATGACGGTAATGGTGGTGACGATGCTGAGGATGATTGTGATGATGATGATGCTGATGATGATGATGATGATGATGATAGTGATGATGACTGTGCTGGTGGTGATGATGGGGATGAGGACGAGGACGCTGATAGGTGATGATGATGCTGCTGACTGTGATGATGCTTATAGTAATGACGATGTTGGTGATGATGATGATGTTGATGATGATGATGATGATGTTGACGAGGATGATGATGATTATCAGCAGTATGATCATAATGATGATGATGGCGACGGCGATGATACTGGTGATGATGATGACGACGACGATGTCGACGACGACGATGCTGATGATGGTGATGATGGTGTTGGTGATGCTGTGATGATGATGACGATGATGACGATGACGATGATGATAATGATGATGATGATGATGATGATGATGATGATGATGATCGTGGTAATGATGGTAAATATGGTGATAATCATCAAAGTACCGATAGCCATAATAGTAACCATAAGCATATTCAGAATCATAATCATAGTGGTAGTAAGGGTAGTAATACCATAACGACAATAACAATACCAATAGTCATATAATACGAATCCCAATCATAAGAATATTAAGAAGAATGATGACGATGATGATGATGATGATGATGATGATGATGATGATGATGATGATGATGATGATGATGACGATGATGACGATGATGACGATGATGACGATGATGACGATGATGACGATGATGACGGTGACGATGAGATGGTGGTGGAGGAGGAGGAGGAGGAGAAAGAGGAGGAGGACGACGAGGTTGAGCGAGCGAGCGAGCAGAAGCCGAGAGGCGGCGGGTCGGGGCCGCGGGCGGCCCGAGAGGAACATGAACTGGAGCGCGCCGAAGGCGAACTCCATGTGCAGGGAAGTGGGGGGAGGGTGGCGGCCTCCCCCCTCCGCGGGGGGCACGGCAATATCGCCGCCTTCCCCGCTGCTTCCCCCTCCCCGCGCCAGCGCCGGAGCCCGCCCACGTGGCCGCGATGCGGCGGAGCGCATCGAGCGGCAGGGCGGAGAACTGCACGACGTAGGCGGCCGAAACACCCGGCCTTGGCGATGTTGCTCGGTCAGCGCCGCACGCCACTCGGCATCCACGACCGTCGCAGGAGGCGCAGCCCCGCCAGCCGCCGAGGAGAGCACGACGGGGGCCAAGTCGGCCCACTCGTCGTCGAGCACCTCCTCCTCCATCGCGTCGGGCACCTCTGCCTCCGCCGCTCCCTCGGGCCCAGGGCCCAAGGCAGCAGCTCCAGCAGCAGACCCAGCGCCAGCCGCCGCGGCAGCAGCAGCGGGTGGCGCCTCCGCGGCGCGCCGTGCTGCGAGGGAACGGCGGCGGCGGCGCCGCCGTTCCGCCTTCGCCTCAGGGGCGGCGGGCGAACCAGCAGGCAGCGCAGGAACGGCGGAGGCCGCAGCGGCAGGCGCCGCCTCGGCCGTCGGCTTCGGCCCCTCTCCGCACGCGAAGAGCGTGGCGGAGATGGCCGAGCGCGCAACAGCCGCGACTGTGCGCCGCGGCGCCCCAGCCAGCACCGCGGCCCGCACGGCGGCCTCCACCAATGAGGCACCGTGGGCCGAGGGAGCCCCTCTAGGCCCCGACATCCCGCAGCCGCGCCTCGCCGAGCAGGTGGCGCGCGCAGGCGAGGCCATGCAGTCGCTTAAGCCAAAATGACTACGGATGACGAGGTTGAGGAGAGGGGGGGGAGGACCAGGAACGCCGTCACATGTGACACCTTTCGTCTTCACTTCCTCAGGAGCCCTCATGGACCTCGTTTGGGCAGTCTTGGAGCATCTCGGGGGCCACTTGGGAGCCTCTTGGGGGCCTATTGGGGCCTCCTCGGGACCTCTTTGGGCGGAAGGCTCGACTTGTTGGTTCGTGTTCCCCCTCTCAGGCCCTTCTTCGGGCCATATTGGGGCCCTCGTGGGCCGTCTTCAGCGCCTCTAGGGCTGTCTTGGAGCTCGCTTGTGCCGCCTTGGCGGCCTCTTGGGCAGTCTTGGAGCTTCGGACGCTTGAGAAGGCGACCATCCCAAAAACATTGCGCCCGAAGGAAAATCACAGATTGTTGCATCTCGGGGCCCTCTTGGGAGGGCTCTTGGGGCTCCCCTGGGACGCTTCGAAGACCTCGCGGGCCGTGTTGAAACCATCTTGGGCCGTCTTAAAACCAGAATAGGGCCCTTGGAAAATTGCAGACACCCTACCGGACAGCACATGGCACTCTAGCACGCCCCAACGTGCCAGGGGGCGCAGCACCGGACTTACGTTTCTGGGGAATTGGCTGGATGTCCCGAGGCTCCGACGTTCCTGCTGGTTGCCGCCCCGTTGTTGGCCGTTGCCGCCTGCGGGGGTGTCCCGAGGACTCGCCGCGTTCCAGCCCGTTGCCGCCCGTGGTTGGCCGTGGCTGCCCGTGGGGGTGTCCCGAGGACTCGCCACGCTCTGGCCCGTTGCCGCCTGTGGGGGTGTCCCGAGGACTCGCCGCGCTCCGGCTCGTTGCCGCCGCTGCCGCTCGTGGGGGGGCCCCGAGGATTCGCCACGTTTTGGCCCGTTGCCGGCAGTTGCCGCCTCTGTGGGTGTCCCGAGGAAGCAGATTTGCTCTTCGAAAGACGACCGCAGAGATGCGTCTGCATCGCAGATCTGAAGCAGTCACAGGGCCGCAGCTTCCTGTTTGGGGTCCCCGCTGGCAAACATGATCGATGTCATGTTAGCGCTCCTTGCGGTTCAAACTTCAAACTTGCCCTTCCATTTCGTCAAGTGTCCATGCCATTTCCCGTCCACCAGTGGCGCAGTCGCGGATGAACCAAAGCGAGCCGCGATTGCGCCGCCATTCTTGGGCGTCGGCAAGCCGTGAGACTGACCCTTCCGTCGAAAGGGCCTTCGCAAAGAAGCGCGCATGCGGGATCGCAGCTGGAGGGCTGCGACCTCAGCGGTGCTCGAGACGATTTCTCGTTACGGCGCATGCTTTTGAGCGTTTCTTCGTGCACATGCTGCGTGTCGTTCAAGGCACCTGTCGCCAGGCATCCTACTTTCACTCTTACTTCTGCGCCCCCACAGAGGAAGCAGGGAGCGATGATGGAGCGCGCGCGGGACCGGTTTGACGCCGGCCAGGCGAATTGCCGTGCGCGACCCCGAGGCGTGGAAGAAGCTGCTTTCCCTGGAGACGCGTGCGGGTCGGGTTTGCTAGGGTTCAGTCTGGTGCAGGCTGTGGTTGCCTCTTCGAGCACGCACGCACGTGTTCCATCCCCACCCTCCTCCGCAGCCTTTTTCGGTGGTGGCCGTGTGCGCAGGACGACGGCGACGACGACGACGACGCACGATGACGACGACGACGACGACGACGACGACGACGACGACGATGACGACACACGACGACGCGCGACGACGACGACGACGACGACGACGACGACGACGACGAGGACGACGAGCACGACGACGACGACGACGACGCACGACGACGACGACGACGACGACGACGACGACGACGACGACGACGACGACGGGGTGGATGCGACACGTTTTCCTCCCCAACGGCATGACAAGCGGCGAAGCAGTACATTTTAAAGGTTGCGCCCTCTGCAGCTGGCCCCCCAGGCTTAGCCACTTTGTGGTTGAATGTGGCAGATCTGGCGGCCCTCGGGTGTCATGTTGGGGCCTCTCTGGGGCAGCTTGGGGCCTCTCGGACGGCCGCGGGACATGCTGGAAAATATTATGGCAACGTGATCGTTTTCTTATTTATTGTGTTGCCGATCGGCGCGGGCCCTCGCACCCCCTCCCCCCTCCCATGGAGTAGATATTGGCTGTTCTCGGCGCCTGTTTCCAGCAGGTGGAGTCTCCCCGTACGACGCACTGCTGCAATCAGTCGCATTAAGCAGAGGTCCGGAGCCAGACCCCCCACCCCTTTCCGCCCAATGTCCAAACGCCAAACAAGAAAACGTTTACAACCTTGGGGCGGTTTGTGGTGCCAATGTTTGAGGATGCTGGGCCCTTGTTCTTCCGTGCTGGGCGATCTTGGCGGCAAGTTGGGGCCCTCAGATCCACATAGGGTTCGTCTTGGGCAATCTCTGGAGCTCTGGGGGCCGTCCTGAAGCGAGCTTGGGACATCCGAGGAGCTGCACATGGGACAGGCCAAATGAAAGCACTATCCTGGCGAAGGGGTCAACACTATGCTGCTGCGAGTATCGCGAGGCAGGTAAAGAGTAGGAGGCAGCAAAAGGACTCGGGCGCGGAGGAAAAGGAGGAGGAGGAGGAGGGCGAATGAGGTCACGCTGGGCCAGGGGCGACGAGGGATCGGGAGTAGGGGAACCCTTTTCTATATGGCACCGCAAGACGCAAGCCCGTCGCCTGCAAGGAGGCTGAGCGCAGAGGAGTCCCCGCGACGCGCGCTGGTCGCCCCGAAAAAGTTCCAGCGACGCGCGCGGGTCGTCCGCGGCACAGACCAAAAAGAAAGCCACCGGGGCGTGAGGTGCACTCCATGTGGGCCCATGAAACGTGTGAGGGGTGTGCTGACATGTACGGGGAACCGCATGCGAGGACGGCCACTACGGCCTCCCCACGGGGCCACGAACCGTGTGAGAGGTGTGCCGAAATCGGCGGGGGAACCACATGCGAAGACGGCAACTGGGGCCTTAGGTGGAGCTCTTCTGGAGCTACGAAACGTGCGCTGGCGTGTCGAAATTCGCGGGGAACCGCATATGAAGACGGCCACTGTGGCCTTAGGTGGAGCTATTTGTGGTGCCACGGAACGCGTGAGGGGCGTGTCGACATCAGCGGAGAACAGCGTACAGGGACGGCCACTGGGGCCTTAGGTGGAGCTCCCTGTGGGGCCACGAAACGTATGAGGGGTGTGCCGACACGGGCGGGGAACCGCATGCGAAAACGGCCGTTGGGGCTTTAGGTGGAGATACCCGCGGGGCCACGAAGCGTTGTGAGGGGTGTGTCGACATAGGTGGGGAACCGCTTGCGACGGCAACTAGGGCCTTGGGTGGAGATCCCCGTGAGGCCACGAAGCATTGTGAGGAGTGTGCCGACATGGGCGGGGATCCCCATGCGAGGACGGCCATTCGGGCTTTAGAGGTGGAGGTCACGAGTGGGGCCACGAAACGTATGAGGGGTGTGCCGACATGGGCGGGGAGCCGCATACGAAGACGGCCACGGGGGCCTTCAGTTGAGTGCGAAACGTGTGAGGGTTGTCCCGAAATTGGCGAGGACCCGCATGCGAGGACGGCCAGTGGGGAGGACCTTTGGTGGAGTTCCTTGCTAGGCCACGGTACGTTTGAGGGGTTTGCCGAAATCGGCGGTGAAACGCATGCCAGGACGGCGGGGGGAGGGGTAGCTGGAGGAGGAGGTGGGACGCGGGGCGTTGTCTCTTCAAAATGGGACCCAACACAGGATGGTTGGGAAGTACAAACACAGTTGTTCGATGTTGGTGCTCTCTCGGGGGCGTCGTGGGGTCGTCTTGGGCCATCTTAGGGGCATCTTGGGGCCACCTTCGGCCGGTTTGGGCTCTATGGGGGCCCTCGTCGGGGCCTCTTGGCGCCACTCTGAATGCTTCTACGGCCCCCTTGATTGTTTGGTGGCGTCCCCACAGGGACCCTGGCGCAAGCCAGGGCGGCCAGCAGGCTGAGGGCTTCCCCCCGCTGGGTTGTTGCTTGTTGTTTTGACTGCGCGGCCCCCATAGGAAACAGTTGGAGTGTAGCCAGAGCTGGAGCGGCAAGGGGCCCAAAAGAACAAGGACACCACAAGGAATTCAATGACGCATTCCAACATGGTCCTTCACAGCCTTGCGCTCCCACAGTGAAACGTTCAGAAAGTGCATGGAAGCGACTGGGAAAATACAGCAAACACCAAAATCTCAATTACGCGCCCAAGGTGGAGCCCCACCGCATACCGCAACAAGGGCCCGCGGATACGCGATGTTCACTGCATTGCTTGTTCGTGGTAGCAGCGAGACCAGAGTAGCAATGTGAGCTGAGCGGGTGTAAGCAGAAAGACAGTTTCCATACAATAGCACATGCATGCCCCCTCTCGGGTCATCGCGCCGTGGGCCAGCGGGCTGGGATGTTGCGTATATCGAAGACGCCTGCGGCGAATCACCGCCGCCCCCTGCCTTTTGGAATCGCCCGTGTGGCCGAGCGTTGTGGCAAGAGCTCTGGCAAGCTATCGGACCATGTGTTCCCCCTAACCGCTGTGGAAACCTGGGAACTTTGGGGGGAGGATGGCGAGGAGGAGGAGGAGGAGGAGGAGGAGGAGGAGGAGGAGGAGGAGGGAGGAGGAGGAGGAGGGGGCATCTTGGGAGCCTCTGGGGGCACTCTTGGGGCTTCCTTGGGCCTCTTGGGGACCTTTGGGGGCTCCTCTGGTGCCTCGTTGGCAGTCTTAGGGCATTCATGGCCCGTCTGACGCCGTCGGAAGTCGTCTTGGGGGCCTCTTTGGGCCGACTTGGGACCCTCTTGGGGTGCTCCAAGGCCGTCTTGGAGGCCATCTTGGGCGTCTTGGAGGCCTCTTGAGCCGTCTTGGGGCCCTGTTGGGGCCGTCTTGGGGGCTCCTCGGGCCGTTCTGGGGCCATCCTGGATGCCTCTGGGGCGATCTTGGGACGATCTTTGGGAGTTCTTGGGCCTGCTCGGGCCGTCGGAAGGCCAAAAAGAAGCAAATGCTCAGATCATTTGAAAACATGAGGGACATCAATGAGGTTGGCCTCTTCGGGTTTCTGGAGGCCCTCTTAGAGGGCAGAGGACTTTCGGTCCGTCTTGGAGGCCTCTCGGGGTCCTCTTGGGTCATCTTAGAGCCATCTTGGGCCGTCTTAGGGCATTCCTGGCCCGTCTGACGCAGTCGGAAGCCGTCTTGGGGGCCTCTCTGGGCCGACTTGGGGCCCCCTTGGGGTATTCCAGGGCCGTCTTGGAGGCCATCTTGGGCGGCCTGGAGGCCTCTTGGGCCGTCTTGGGGCCCTGTTGGGGCCGTCTCAGGGGCTGTTCTGGGGCCATCCTGGAGGTCTCCTGGGCGATCTTGGGGCGATCTTGGGGTAAAGCCATATTGGGCCGGCGGCTTGATGGGCTTCTGGCCCGTCTGACGCCGTCAGAAGTCGTTTTGGGAGCCTCTCTGGGCCGTTTTGGGGCCCCCTTGGGGTGTTCCAGGGCAGTCTTGGGGGCCACCTTGGGCGTCTTGGAGGCCTCTTGGGCCGTCTTGGGGCCGTCTTGGGGGCCTCTTGGGCCGTTCTGGGGCCATCCTGGAGGCCTCCTGGGTGATCTTGGGGCGATCTTTGGGGAGTTCTTTGGCCTTCTCGGGCCGTTGGAAAGCCGAAGAGAAGCAATTGCCAAAATCTGTCAAAAGCATGAGGAACATCAACGAGGTTGGCCTCTTCGGACCTTCCCGGGGGCCGTCTTAGAGGACTTGCGGTCCGTCTTGAGGCCTTTGGAAGGTCTCTTGGATCATCTTAGAGCCATCTTAGGCCGTCTTGCTCGGGGCCGCAGGGGCGCACAGGAGGAAGAGGGGCATGTGGAGGAGGAGGAGGAGGAGGGGGTGGAGGAGGAGGAGCAAGTGGATGAGGAAAAGTGAGGATCTGACTTGCGGGCGTGAGCTTTGGCCTCCGAAGGCCGTTCGGAACGATTCCGGCACCCAAGAGCGCATGGTTTCACCTTGGATCTGGAGGCAGTGTGCGGGTACCCAGACCCAATGGTGGGTTTGAGGCCACCCGGATGGCTTATGGGGTCTCTTTGGGAGAGCTCTTGGGGGCGTGTTGGAGCCAGTTTGGGGGCCTCTGAGGGGCCTCTTGGGGAGGTCTTGG